GTGACAGTACTATGTACGATCACGTGACAGTACTATGTACGATCACGTGACAGTACTATGTACGATCACGTGACAGTAATATGACCACATTCATTAATTGAGTAAAGTCGGTAAAACCTAAGAATTTTTCGGGATGACAGTCGACAGAACAGCACGATAGATAAATTCCTGATTGTAGAAATGTTGTCAATTTGAGTCAGAACCCTATTTAGGGGGGCAGTGCACGGCGAATGTAAATTGTAAATGCACGGTTAATTAATAGAGGTAGAATTGACATAGGCTTAAGGTTACACACGAAAGTCGAAACCAATGCTTGGGGAAAAGAAATAGTTCCAGTTAATAAAAACACTGTAAATAGAGACACAGTAAATAGAGACGCTGTCAATATCGACACGGTAAATAGAGACACAGTCAACAGAGGTTCGACTGTAACCTACGTTTCCACTAGATTACCAGACACATTTCTCCATTTATCTTCATCTGCAACAAGTAAAACGGGAATAACATATACCCTACTAGTAAACGGTGCTAAAAATAGCCAGTCAACCTCTTTAAAAGCCCTCTCAAGCCATCTAAAGCCATCTAAAAGCCATCTAACAAGTCACCCACATCAGAGTTCTGACTTTCTTCAGAACTCTAGGTGCGATATGGTTGGGACAGCTGGTGACAGTCCTGTGACAGGTTACACACGAAGTAGGCACGCCCCGGGGTTGTTGTAGAAACACATAGTTATCTCTAAATATTGGAAAATGTGACGTATTATTATTATACCCGAGTAGTACTTTTTATTTTGAAACTTTTACAAGAACCTCGCATATTTATTATTTATGTTGTATTTTTAGAGGATATTTTGGCGTAACATTACGATGAATTGGTCGAGTTGTCTGATCTTCACGCTGAGAGGGTGTACCAGCGTTCACTTGTCAAGATAAAATATGTATCACGCACGCCAGATAGCTCACATTCTCAAAATAACGACGTCTCGGTGCGAGTCACTTTTTGAGCCAATTTCATATAATACGTACACAATTATCGTAGTCAGTACACAAAAACAGGATCCTCACCTTCCAGTGCCGTATTTGCTGTTAGATTTGCCTTTGTTCAGTATTTAAGATAGCATCTTGTTATGGAATGCTTCATAAGCTCATTAGCCAATCAAAGGATTTCATCTTTAAAACTTAAATCATGCGCTTATTACAAACTGCTTAGTGTAAGTTAATTTGTCGACAAAATCTAAAAAAGACCATTCCGATTTTAATATATTATTATTAATAGGGCGGGTAAATATTCCGAATTCTTGAACGATGCTGGTTTTATGGTACTCCTGCTCACATAAAGGGTGTTTTCCCTTTTACCCCAGTCGAACTTTCCAAATTAAACGCATTATAACTTTAGAAATCACATTATTGATGCTCATCTGGCGCCGTCGGGAAATTTCCGAGGTTCTATTTTTAATAGTGCTAGTATCCATTTAATGAACTTAATGTTATTATAAATATATTTATTATTTCCAACTGTCTCTGAAAGCCTGTGGACTCTGAAATATATGCTATATACTATAGGCGATTCTTATCGAGGTATGGGAACTTTCTTCTTGATAAAATTACGAGCGGTGACTTGTATTTTAAGTTTATTAGAGACGCTAACTTACTCTTAACATCCTCAGTAATTTCTGATAAGTCCCCGTTTACTGTTATTCTTTAGTCTTACAGCAACTTTAGTCTTTGTTGTTTAGTCTTTTGTTCAAGAAGTTTTTCTACGTCATTTTAATAATCAAGTAAATACGGAGATTTAGTCGAAGAGAACAATTTGTGTGTTTTTGTTGATGATTTTGTAGAACTTGATGACCGATTCCCCATGATCCAACTCAGTTCGTAGTGTAAATACGGGCGGTGCATGATAAAAACAACTCACCACAATTAAAACTTTAATTCAGGATATTACGATTGATATTTGATACTACGCTTGCTTCCGAAACTACTAATTTGGTAATTGCAAACGTAAACAGATCTTTCATGAAAAAAGAACCCTGTCGTCATTACATAACCATGACATACCAAGTAATTTAAAGTAATTATCATTTCATTAAATCGGCTGAACTCTGTTGTTATTCACCTACTACCTGCGTAGTTATAATTATATTTGATAAAGGAGCACAAATAATTATGGATAATCACACCTAAACCTCCACCCCTTCTTCCATGATGACATCTGTACTTACTAAAACTTACAGTTGAAAGCTGTGACACAATCTCTCGGAGAGACCGTTAGACGAGTTCAGTAATTCGTTTTCTGTTCAGCAGCCGTCGAGGCGGGCTTTAATGGATTGGCAGGTCGCTCTGTGTGATGACCAGGTCGCTGTCGCACGTGACTTTAGGCTCGGTCATGCTGTTAATCACGTGATAACAGGTGAAGAGGTTTTTAAGGTTCTGTGGTTTAAGGTAAGGATTATCAGAATGGTTAGTGTTAGGTCTTCAGTTAGGTTTCAAAACCCTAGATATTCTTTATTCTCACCACGTAAGGATCCGTCACGTTATAAGTCACGTGCTATGACACATGGGCAGGTGCTGGGTCACGTGGGCGCCCACGTGGTTGTTTGATCCTGTCTGCGGATCAGTTGACTCCTGGTACAGGTCATAGTCCACCGTCAGCCCATAATCCAGATTATTGGCTACAGTTACTGGCACTTTTATCACTCTTCATACCTGATAGAAATATTATGTGACCCTGATTCAGCCATGATGCAACCTTCACAGCTCCCCTATATACTCCTATAGAATGCTGACCCCTGATTGGCTGTTTAACCTCAGGAGGGTTGAGTTCTGCTCCCTTATTGGCAGATTAGTGAAAGGTGGAGAGGACCTCCAGTAGATACTGGCCCTACCCGCCATTGTTCGAACGTGTGTGGGAGTGCGTCAAAGTGCTCCTTTATCAAATATTCCCTTATCTCCCAATTCCAATCCCGGAATTTGAGCGCCTTTTTTGCCCTTCGATTGCCCTCTTGATAAGTCACACCAGTCATTTCAGCTTTTCGATCATTTCAGTTTTTTAGTTTCCTTGACGTTGTGTTCACGTTGAATAATGAGCTGAAGATTTCTTTAACAATCGCAGTTTATCGTATCACTTTAAAGACACAGCGACGCCGACCTAACGAATCGTTCTGAAGCAAGATTTGTAAGATTTCCTTCAGTGTTACGTTCGCCTCTGCGGGCAGCTTTGAGGAACATATTTTGTGTTTTTCGATCTCCTGATTCTGTATTTAGTTTGTTTGTTGACATATTTTGGGAGTTTCTCCTGAATGTTGTGGTCTTTCTTGTGAATTGTGGTTGTGGTTACCTTAGCTTATGAACGACGGATATAAGTTTAAGTTTTAGATTTTCAGATCTCATGCATCGTGGTGTTTAATAGCTTGGTCTCGTATGTGCGTTTTACTTTCAATGGTATGCTTCATCATGGAGTTGTGTATTGTAGCTTGTTCCTTTTTGTTGGTTGTTATTTTGCTTTGCAATTTATCTGAAATGGCCAACTAACAGATAGTCCCCTTATTTGCTGCCAATCCCCTTCCTTTAGTCATTATTCCAGTGATTTTGTACTTTTGTAAAACTGCAATTTGAACAGTTTGTCTCTTTCATTAAATCCAAGTTTTGGATGCGAGTCTTGAAACACCCTGTATATTCTCTTCCTACCTTGTTCAACCTTCACAATTTCTCTGATCCCGGACCACGCTGGATTTCCTCCTGGAGTACTACATTTGTATATTCTCGCCAACTTTCTAGTTTTTTAAACCTTGTTGTTGTTTCCATTTTTGTTGTTCTTTGTCGCACGCATTTTCCCTTTCTCCAGACTAATTAATTAATTAAATAATTAACTCTCAGAACAATGGTGCACGTTAAAAACTACCCATGTTCCTGTTGCGAGGATTGTGTGTTTATCCCCTACGTTAGCTACGAGGCTGGTAAGGGCAGTCTCAGAGCTGCTAAGAGGAGGTTCATCTGTACTGATAATATTGTAAGTGGTCTATTGTGACGTCATTAATTAATTAATTAATTGATAAGTTCAACACTGCTATGTAATGAATAATTTGAGAAGGTTCTCGTTTAAGATGATTAAATTGAAGAATTGGTATCGTGATGTTGTTAGGTATTGCTTATAAAATTTTAAGTATAGTGTATACTGAGTGAAAATTAATTTTAATAAGCCAACAATTTATAGGCGGGGTTGAAACAGTATCTGATATTTTTGATAATAGAATTGCATTTGTGTCCGTACAGATTAGGTTATATACTGGTAATATCAACTAACTTCGAACAATCATTCAATTTTAATCCTATTAATAACCCCCCACATCATGTTAAGGACCCCACTAAGTCTGTATAAATCTATTATAACTAGAATTGAAGTAGTAGTTTGTTAATTGTAATATTATTAGAAATTCAAGTCATTAATAACCATGTTCCAAGCAAGATAGGTTTGGATACTAGAAAAATTTGAAAATTATCGAGGGATCGCGAATATTAAAATTAAATCACCGCAATTTCAACTTCCTGGCGATATTACTATTATATGGTAATATTCTCATTACATCGTTTTATAACTTTCCTGTTTAATTTTTCATTTCCTCAAACAATGAATCAGGAACTAGTTTTCACATCATCACTATCAGGAACTGAAATGAAAATCCGTCGTCAGGAAATTAAATTCTGCAAGATTTGCTCCGCGGTGTCAGCAATGAGCATACAGTTTCTAGCAACTTATAACGCTTAATTAACACCTCTGTCACTAATTCAATTCAATAGTCAACAATAATTATTTCCTGCAATTTTCTGCAATTATCTACCGGATATCTAGCAATCTTCCGGGAGATTTTCGACAGATATAGGAAAAAAATGTCGGGAGATGAACAATTTTCCGGGTAATGATAAAGTCGATAATATCCTTTTAACAATTAATTAGTTTATTAACACTCAATTAATTACTTAATTAACAGTTCATTGTTTCAGTTACGAATCTCCCAAGAGGTTGACGAACAGGATGTTAGACATCAAGATAAAGGATCACCAAGAAGGATTACGATAATGCAGGTAAGCATCACCGAATTAAGCAAATAATTGTATTTTATAAGTCTTTGTAGTGAACTGATTTCTTTTTGATATCTTCGGCACCGTAATATAAAACCAAATAAACACATTATTGTGGCTGCTCTATTTTTATGAAATGTGAAATGTGAACCGGTTTATTCAGGGGGTGAATAAAATGCAGATAATAATTAAATATTACCAAGTTGTAGCAGCTTATTAACAATCTGATTAAGTTGTGCGTTGTTATTGATTCTCATTTGATGATCCCTTCGAGAAAATGTCTTGTTTTTTTTCTTCTGAATAGTCTCAGTAATGACAATGTTCTAATGAAGGTAAAAATATCACGTACCGACATTTCTTCGTCATACTCACATTCCCAAATAATTTGTTATATTTTAGTGTTGAAAGTATTAATGAAAGTATTAAATACTTTCATCACTACTATTAACAAATAATTTGATAATATGAGTATGACGTAGAAATCTCCTATCTATCTACCTTTATTAGAACATTGTCATCACTGAGTCTACTCAGAAAAAAAACAGAAATTTTCTTGAAAGCTTATTAACAGTTTCATATTTATAGCGGCTCTAATTTCAAAGTAAACCCGACCTGCATTACAAATATATTTCTAATATTCTGATCAGTAAAATGCTGGCCCAATAAATTTCGCTAACAAAACCGGTGGCCTCTGTAATATAAGGTAGCATTAGAAAATCAACACTCCAAACTAAATAAATCATGCTCATTTCATAATATTGACTATACGAGCATTATGAAATGAATCTTTTCGTTTTTGTGGCCGTTATTACTATCTACAGATAAGCTCTTATTTGTAGATAAGGATATCTTATCTTATTGATAAGGTTGTTTTCCATCTAACTACATATTATATCACTTTCCTCTCACTTGCCTACTGATCAACTGTTAACCAATCATGTCTGTCACCAATTAGTTCTTTTGAAATTTGGTCGGCATTTTAGCTTGTCCCCTCACCAAAAATTATCTGTTGTATCTAGATAACAACTCAATCGTTATCAGTTGATAAGGATTTTTCACGTAAACACAACACTTACCTGCTAACCGGTTATCGATTAACCTTCCCTGTGTTGAGCATTAACGCAAATTAGCGTGACAAAATGTTGTTACTCCGTTACAATTTCAAGTTTGACACAATTTCAAGTTTGACATTTGACAGTTTACACTATTATATATAATACACCTGTATTATAACAGCAGAGGTTTATGAGTATTTTATTAACCGTAATAATATGTGCAATTTAAGACTACGCGGGTGGTAAATCACCACTCCAGATTTGTTTGAGTTCATATTACTCAATATGGGCTTTCATAACTCAACATGGTTCTCCGTCAGTCTATTTATAGCACACAGCTTTCCCAATCTGTCAAGCTATCCATGATATCGGTTAATATGGTGGTATGATTCTCTACAGTTCGGGGTCAGGAGTCATAATATGAAACTTTTTACTGTTTATAGCTCTGTCTTTAATTTTCTATATTATATACAGCGTAAACTGTCGAATGTCAAACTTTAAATAGGACTGAGTCGTGCTGGTATTTTAGGAATGCTGTGCGCGTTTTTAAGACTCTGTTTGGGGGGGTCAGTTCGCATTATTGTTAGTTCATCCGTTTATTTTGAGTTAAGCTATTGAGTTGTTGTTAACAAACTTTTTGTTGATTGTGTATCAAGTTGTTGTTAACAATTTTTTGTTGATTAAGTTATTGAGTTATTACTTTTTATTGACTAATTTTGTTTCAGCGTATGAGTACGATGTCAGGAAAACAGAGACTAAATCCAGAGTGGGTAAGACAGAAGGTTATAGAGGAGATAATTAATTACGAGGAGGGATATGTTAAGAACCTTAAAGACGTTATTGAGGTAATTTTATAATTAGTTAATTAGTTTTATTAGACATTTCTACGGCTGCTTGGTTGAGATCATATAGAATATTTGTTTTTGGAACCTTAATCTTATATAATTACATGTACGATTGGATTGCAATTGCTGGATATTTTATTTACATTAACTTTAACAGGGTCCCTTAAAAGAAGCTAGACTCAGAAAAGATCTTTTCAACGATAACCAGATAGAACGACTTTTCAATAATATCGAAGAACTTTTCGAATTTCAGGTAAAATTAATTTTCTGTGGATTAGATAATTTAAATTATTCATAATCCATTATATTGTATCATATTTCAAATATTATTTGGAATCCATTTTGATGTCCTATTGATAATCCCTCCACTCTCCAGCTTGTGCCTAGAACTAACAACTCTTACAAAAAAACTCAGTCCATAACAACCAGTCTATATTCTCTATAACCAACAACATATAACAACTAACTAATTAGTTAATTAATTTTGTAAATATATTTAATATAAACCCCATCTTATCAGGTTCAGTTTCTGGAGTCACTAAAGAACCGATTAAAGACAATCGTACACAAATCAGAAATAGGGGATACGTTTACAGAGTACCAGGACAAATTCGTGGATATTTATAGCAGGTTAGTGATTAATAAGTTTGTTAATTGATAAGTTTGTTAATTGATAAGTTTGTTATTTGATAAGTTTGTTAATTAATAAGTTTGTTAATTATTCAATAATTTTGTTTGTTATCTGCTATTATTATCATCCGATATTCTGGGTCACGTCATTTTAATTTAAATGACGCTACTCGCCGACTTAGCCGACTCAGTAAAACTTTTAATTCAGAGCTTTTCTCCACCTTGTAAGACTAGACTTTTTGAGTACTGCTGGAACTTTAAAATTCGCTGATTATGTTATGCAAGCTCCGCCCTAATTCCGTTTTAACCGAAATTACGTAACCACATAACACTGCAACACGATGACACGATGACAACACTAACAGATATGTTGTAATTTATTAAATTACTAAATTAGCACTGCATACCAGACAAAATACTTTATCAGAGACAATTCCTTATCCAACACGTGACACTAACATTACGTATTATTATTCAGGTACTGCAATAATCACAGTAGCGCACTCGCTGAGTACACGATACTAAATCAACACATGATTTACACCATCTTCTTCGAATCATGTAGACTACTTAAAGACATGGAGAGCATCCCGTTAGATGGGTAGGTTATTAAATAAATATATTTATAGTTTCCTTTATTTTAGTTATTTAGTTAATCATTGGGTTAGAACTTTTGCCGAGCTCTATTTTTTCCCTTTCTTATCCTGTCAAATGTGTAAATTTAATTTCTTAATGTTTGATTAATTACGGTTAATACTCTGCAGGTATTTATTAAAACCGGTTCAAAGGATTTGTCAATATCAGCTACAACTTAAAGAACTACTGAAATACACTACCTCAACACACCCCGATCACGCCAAGGTAACATTTCTTACACATTTCTTACACATTTCTTACACATTTTGTACACATTTCTTACACATTTCTTACACATTTCTCACACATTTCTTACACATTTCTTACACATTTTTTACACATTTCTTACACATTTCTTACACATTTCTTACACATTTCTTACAGATTTCTTACACATTTTTTACACATTTCTTACACATTTCTTACACATTTCTTAAGTACGTACTACTCACATATAAATCAGAATGATCTGTCTCATGAAATGTTCAAACCAATCAGCTCGCAGTTCCGAACGGGAATATACGAGGGTTGCTTGTTCAACAGTTGTTCAACAGTTGCTTGAGCCTTGAACTTGCATCATAAAAGTTAGTAGGCTTTAAAGTTCAATATTTAGTTCTTAATTAATAAAAGTTTGTCTCTCAGGTAAAAGATGCAGAGTGTATCATGAGCAAAGTTGCTTCAACCGTAAATGAAAGGAAGAGAAGAACAGAGAATATCAACAAATTAGCACAGTGGCAGTCAACTATAGAGGACTGGAGAGGGGAGGATATCTTAGTCAAGTCCAGCATCATGATCCACAGTGGAAGTCTTTACAAGATTAGCGCAGGCAACAAACAGCTGCGGAGATTTTTCCTGTTTGATAAGCAGCTGGTGTATTGTAGGAAGGTGCTAGGAAGTGGAAAATTGCAGTACAAAGGAAGGATAAACTTGGATCAGTGCCAAACTGTTAATCTGGACGATAATTCAGGTATTTTATTTTTTAATCCATTTTTCATGTGATATTTTCTTCCTCAATTCAATAATTCTATTAATTATTCAATTAATTATTTTATTACTTTTTAAATTAATTACTTAATTTATCATTAAATTAATTATTTGATAACTCTACAGAACCGGGTGTTGTGAACGGCTGGAAGATGGAAAACAGAGTTAAAAACAAATGGATTGTTTTGTTTTGCAAGAAAAGTTCAGATAAAACGGCCTGGTTAGACGCACTGAAAGAGGAACGTCGACAGGTTCGTTAATTAAGTTATTAAATAATTAGGTTCGTTAATTAAGTTAATCAATTAAATAATTAATATTATTCGTTAATTAAGTTATTAAATAATCAGGTTTTTATAATATATCGTTTTATATAATTAGTTTTATAATAATTCGTTTTATATAATTAGTTTAATGTGTTCTGCAGACTTTACTACCCGAGGAAGTGCAGCAAAACACATGCGACTGCGATTTACCAATTTGTGATTCCTTACAGCTAAACTTTAACTAAGTTGACACCCCACATTTTAGCTGACACCCCACATTTTAGCTGCTTAAACAATCTTTGATATCTTATAATCGTTTATTATTTGATGAAAGCTTAAAATCTAACATTTTCTTTGCAGGTGGAGCTTGATGAGGAAAATAATTTCGTGATACCTGAAGCACAGAAACAAGCCGCGTACGTCCAGGTCACCAGATCTAACTCAACTCGAAGCAAAAAGCTTAACTCTTTTTCGCATAAATATAAGTCAACTTCAGATTTAAGAAACAGTTTATTAGTGGACCCAATCCCTAGGGACAGTAAAAGTAAATCAAATAAAAAGTTAAAAGGGTTTTCTAATAAGATGTTTTTAAAAAAGCAGAAGAAGTTGTTACACTTACATGACTAGGATGTTTGCTTTTTCGTTTGTTTATTTTGTAATTCACACAGTTTTAGTATTTTTGGGATGGATTTATTTGATTTTTATTTTAGATGAATTTCGTTATTATAGCTGATTTTATGTATGTGGCAATGTCAGTGTTTGTACTAATTATCCGCATCTATTTTCAAATAGCCCAGAATTTTAAGACGGACGTTAATATTCAAATGAAAATAACATCAGGATTTATTTGTAAAAGCGTTAGTTTATCATCATAGTTGCTATGAAAGTTTTTTGTCGTAAAACTGTTTTACGTTTATTTGTCACAGACCACTTTAATTAGGAGCTGCTCAAGAGGTATGATGATATAATAACGTTATATTGATTAGATGCCTTTTAAATGATGTTTCTAATAATACTGATAGTGCTACTAATCATTTGCCTTTTATACTATCAACTCATGTGTTTTTACTTAGTTTTTATATTGTATGTTGGTTAACTTTGTATCACGTCGCGATCTTTATTTACCACCGTGGGGAAAGCCACGATATAATATTGGATATGGCCGTGCACTCGTGCGCGGCGGGCCCACAACGTGGAGCAAGGTTAACTTGCACTTCCTTTTGAGTGCAGATTGTACTTGTAGCTGACATTCATTATCAATTATAACCCAGCTTATAATATTATTGATCTCTGGCTCGCTTAACAGTTGGCACTCTTACATGTGCTATGTGAGAAAGTAGCGAGCGCGAGCGTGCTAAATCACTCTACAGTCGATCTTCGAGATTATTCCAAAAGGAACCCCGACAGTTGAAAGTTGAAACCAACTTCATTCGATGTATTTTCGGACGCTGATAATTCCGAATCACCCTCCATGACATAGGGTTAAAATGCTCCCCTGACGAGATATTTGATATTTGCGAAAAACTGTCTCGATCACGTGATATGACCTTACTGGGCCGCCCTCAGCCTGTCATTCCGCCTAATCTCTTATCTCTATCTTTATGTTTATGAACATGATAGGCGATAGCCTGATCAGGTCCCCAGGTAAGATATGACCGTATAAGGAAGTTAGTCTAATTTCTCGTTGTGGTTACAGGTTAGGATTTCAGACTTTCAGCATATGCTTTTGTTAAAGATTCATGAGTTAGGGTTATAATCAATTGCTATATTAGCTGAGGGTTCAGATTTAAATTTCCAATAGTCATTCAGGGCCAGGCTTGTTATGTAGCGCGATGCGTTATATACTGTGCCGCGCCGAGCTGCGACATGCGATGAATTGACATCGTCAATTAAGGCCAGGCTAGAGAACGGGTTGAAAAAGTCACGTGACAGTCGAGTGTAGAGTGATTAATCATCGTCCAGAAAGTAGGATCAAAGGTGAAATTTCAAAAACTGAAAATAAAAATGACTAGCTACCAATGATGAAACAAAATGTCAAAGGGCCCATGAAAACAAAACCAAAAAAGTGCCATGACCGGCATAAGGCATTCTGTGGAGCTAACCCTCTTTCTCCGGCCCTATACTCTATATGCTATAGCGGCCCCTCAATATCGATCCTTTATAGCTAGTCTAATTTTATTATCTTACTATTATCTTACTGTCATGAAAATGTAATTTTATCTGTCAAAACTGAGAACAAGAAAAATATAGAAAGTACGCCCGCGCCCGTCGCAGTACGCGTAGACTCATGCAATGGCTATGTAAATGTTATCCGTGAGAGAAGCGAATAGTTGAATAGCAAGTTGTCAATTAAATTGTCATACGTTGTAGACCTGCCGCGCACGAGTGTGGAGTGGCGCGCGGCAGTATTGATTTTTCGCCACAATACTAGTACTACTGCTAGCTTAGTGAAACAAGAATGGGTTCATGATATGATACAAATAGCAAGCTGAGTAATTGATAAAATTCATTCAACAAGCCTCCTTGGTGCTGCCCCGCTGAGAGCTGCGCGTAGAAATAAGATTATTGAGCGATAATTGCGCTGGTGCTACATTTTATACCATTGGATAGCAAAAATGCTCAATCGAATGTCGCCCTTTTCAAAAAACTCAGCACAGGTTCTCATAAAAAGTTATGAACATTTATATGGTCTAAATAAATTCTTACGCCGCGCGCCGAACAAAATGAATTCATAATAGAATAACTAGCGCGTCGCTACACGTATCTATGGATACGCGTCGCTTCACGTATCTATGGACACGATGACTATATATAGGCATGAGCGGACGGCTCATTTTTCATATCATTACAGTCGCGCGTGTGCTAAATACAGCAGTCCTGCGAGTTATGTTGTTAAAATCTCGCCTCGTCAAATTGAAACTTGCTTTAGGAGCTAAACATGGCCCAACCATGAACCAGCGAATGCAATGTGCCACGATGCAAATGTTGTGAACTTAAAGCTTCCCTTGGAAAGTGGAAACTTCTACTGCTTATAGAGTTACAACATCATTTATTTGTTATTTCCCAATGTAGTGTCTGTGGAAAGGCTTACGTCGGTCGCACTACTCGCTCTTTACGGGTTATATTATACGGGCCGGTTATATTATATATTAGGACTGGAGAACATAGGGTCAAATATTATAAACTTTTAAATGGCGATAAATAAGTGATGAATATAGTTTTTGCTTACATTTATTGGATCGTGGTTATACTTATAGACAAAGGGAACATTTCTGTGTCGATCACTGATAATTCTAGTCCCAAAACTTTGGAAGTCCGTGAACATGAATATATTTAACTTCTCTAGACTTTAATTTTAAAACCTTTGGGAATTAACATTATAAATCCTTTCGGCCTTCCCTTACTTATATATGTTATACTCTAACATCTCATTTTAACTTTTAATGAACGTTTTAAGAGTGTTCAGATTTTTAAGGGAATTTTGGGTTGTATTAACTTTTTACTATACAATTAATAGGGCTTGTGTCAATGAAGATGACGCCAGCCTGTAAAATGATAGTTTGATCTTAGTATTCACAACAATTCATGTAGCTTGATTGTAAGGGAAAAATTCCTCTGAACTTACATTCTAACTAACAGTTTTCGTGCCCACCTAAATTTTCAACAAAATAAAAGTCACAATTCTGATGGACAAGCAGCAAGTTCGTTAAATTTCGTAATAGTACAGTAATAATAATTTCGTAATAGTACAGTAGAAATGTACACTGAAACATGTAAACAAATTACAATATAGCATGTCATAAAATAAAGTATCTCAGATTATACTTCGGGGTCGTTCACATATTACGTAATCGGCAGAGGGTTCCCAAATGATTACGGGGGGGGGGGGGGGGGGGGGGGGAGTTAGCTGATAATTACGTAATTAATAGCACTCACTTCGAACGAGTAGAGACATAAGTTCGCCAGATTAATCCCAAAACTTGGAAAAATGAGCACAAGAACAGCGGCATAATTCTTCCTTACTGGACATTGTAAACAGAACTACCATTTTACGTAATCGGCCGAGGGGGGTTTCCAAATGCTTATGGTTGATTACGGGGTGGGGTGGGGAGGGGGGGCGAGGGGTTCGGTCGTTGATTACGTAATCAAAGTTTTTGTTTTTACCCTCTAGAATAATAACAATTTGATATTTTAAATTCCACTCAATTTCACTCTGATGGTGATAAAATTTAGAAATTGATCGAATATCCGGCTATAATAGTGAGTAGTTTAGAAGGTGCTTGGCCGGATACCATAACAATGATTTCAGCTCATCATGATAGCATGATCAGGGTAGCATGAACCGTAGAGAAAATTTTTTTTTAGGAAAAATCTCAAGGGGGGGGGGGGGGGGCCGGGCCATGATTACGTAATATTGCTGTCAGAAGGGGGGGGGAGGTTGGGTCTTGATTACGGTTGATTACGGAAGGGGGGAGGGGGGTAAAAATTGCTAAAATATTGATTACGTAATATGTTAACGACCCCTAAGTTCAAACCGACAATGGTCCCCAAAAGTTGTCCACACTGTCTCATGGAAGGAGACAATGGATGAACTATTTCATTGGTCATGAAAGGTGCTTGGCCGGATATCATAACTGCACTGATAACAATTATTTCATGCCATGATTACGTAAATTTGCTATCAGGAGGGGGTGGGTCTTGATAACGGTTGATTACGGAGGGGGAGCAAGAGGTAAAAATTGCTAAAATATTGAATACGTGATATGTGTTTCTGAACATTTGATTTTGATTTGATTTGAAACTTTTACAAAATAGCAGTTAGTACAGTTAATCGAACAAACATTGATTGATTGAAATAAATTTTCGTGCACACTAGGCCGAAATGTATAAATGCTAAAAAGCGTGGGTCAGCGAAAAGTACAGAGGACAACTTGCAGAACAGGAGTTTTTGGCCGCCCAAAGTCTCAATAACATCACTACCACCTAGTAATAAATTGATGAAATGTGAAAAGTGTGAAACAATCAAATAATAATGTATGCATATAATATAATTGTCTCTCAAATACAGATAACGTCCGTAAACTCTTAAGATACTCCTACATAATATACTGATCGGTGTCCGATAGACATGAATTACGTCATGGTGGCTTCTTTACCCGGCTACAGACCTTCCCGTACCAGATGTAGTGGTCGAGATGAGTTTGTTCAGCTCTCTTCTTCTTCAGGTCAGTTACCAGGTTCTTCCTTGCTGCACGCTCTTCACTGGATATACAAATCCATACATCTTTGTGTGCCTCAGCCAGCCTCAGTCTCCCTGTTTTCATCAGAATCTGATGAACTGCTGTTGAGCTTGGGACAGTGATCTTGGCTGGTAGGATGCCGTACCTGGCCTCTTCCAGCCGACTCTTGTCGCTTCGAAATGAGGTTTCTCCCCGATCTCGTCCAATACTGCGTTTACAAGAGCTGGTAGCTGTTCTTCATCCTCTTCTTTCAGTCCAAACACTATCAGATTCTTGCTCCTGTCCTCCTCTGCAGCCACACTCTTCATCACCTTCTTCAGGATTTACTGTAGCAGACCGTACCACTTGCACTGTTCTGTTGAACAGCTGCACTGTAGCTCTTAATCCCTGACTCCACCGCTGTTTGTACTGTCTATTCAACTGTAGTTGTTCGTCGTTCTGCACCAGCAGCTGGTCCTACAGCCTGATCACCTTTCCTTGTCTGCTAGCGCTTCCGTCTTGAGGCACTCATTGTATCTGTCCTGTGTTTCGCTATTTTGATCTCTCTGTCACTAGCAATAGATTCGAAAAGGGTATTGCAGGCCACCAAAGGGTATTGCTCCTCGTGAATGGAGACGACTCCCTGCTAATGTTCTTCCCCGCAAAGAAGGCTTCAGCGTCTGGAGAGTTTAGGAGAGTCTACAACAATTTGTGGGTCATCAGTGAGCCCCATCCATTGGTCCCAATCACTGGAGGGCGGTGAGATGCTGACCTCTCCCATGCTTCATACCGTATGCTTCAGTTCTATTTCAACTTCGTCAGTCGAATTCGTGAAATCTGCGAGAAAAAATATTAACAAAATATGGCGTGAAGTGCGGCGCGCGCAAAATTTGTGCTAAAGATGCCAGGAATCGTGTGGTTTTTCCAACAATTAAGATCGCGCGACGGACGAAAGATTTCCATCAAATTCGAGATCGTGGAAACATTTATGACAGATTTAGGAACATAAATTTTGGCTGTATATGTCCGTGAACTAGTTGGATTTGCCCTGGTATGATACAATGGCATGAGTACCAACATTTTAAGCCTCCTGTGAAATATTTCCCTGATTCATGGAATGAATGAAATGAACAAAAAATGAAGTGTCCCTGAGAAGGCATAATTGCGACTACAATTCTGTCACATGCTTCCAAAATCTCGGATTTATAAGCCCAAAACGGTCAACAAGATGAATTGAAAATCGATTGAATTGGCTTATAAATTATAATAATTACCAGGCATGGGATAACTGTTCCTTCAAAGTTCCTTTAGTTTCGGCGAGAGTTTTCCACACGCTGGATTCGTGCTTCATTTTGGCATAGTCAATCTTCGCTAACATGTTTTGTTTATTCTGAAAGCCTGCGGATATAATAATTCAAATTAAAGTTAATTGGAGAATTTAAAAGCCTATTACGAAATCAACTTTGGGACAATTTCTCAATCGACAAATAAATTCAAGTTTAAGCAATTTATATCAAAACTTGGTAAGAAATGTAATTAATGGACATGTTTTTTTAAGCGACACTGTTTTCCTGATTTTACCTCTTTCAAAGTCGGGTGCACAAAATGAGGAAAAAGTCATTTAAGAGCGACCATAGATTTGTACCTAGAATGAAGTGAAAATATTCAGCAGTTGTGATCCAGAATCATGGAAATTACGAACTATAACCAAATAGCTTACATTTGTCGCTACAAATTTGTAAAGTTTTGCCCCAGATTCATTATAAATGCGACGAATAAATTATGTTCCAAATTTAGGGAAATTTAATAGGACGGGAATTTTTAAATTCAACGTCTTAAACCCTTCTCAAAATTATGGGAAAAATGATATCAATAAACAAAATTTCATAAATTTTTAAAAAAACTTTGAAAACTTGGGGTTTTATCCCCCCCTTTTAAAAATTTTTTGGTTCCCGGGGAAATTATTTTCAAAAAAGCCTGGGGGGTTTCATTTCAAAATTTTTTTAAAAAAATTTTTAAACCTTTTTTAAATTAAATTTTTTAAAAAAAAAATTTGACCCCCTTTTTTATTTTTAACAGGTTTATTGGGTTGTTTTAAAATTTTGCACCGGCAAAGCAAAAGTTCAAATTTTTAAAAAAATGAAAGGAAAAGGGATTGGGTTTTTGGTCCCCAGCGGCCCCCCCGGGGTTTTGGGGGGGGGGGGGGAAATGGGGGGGGGGGGGGTTTTGGGGGGGGGGGGGGGGGGGGAAAAAGAAACCCGTGAGTTATGTCAAGGGAATCGATCCGACCAACACAAAACAGCAGAAATTAGCATCGGACGGTTAACCAAAGTTTATTTTTCTTACGGAAAATTTTTGGAACCCTGCCCGGGTTGATTGCTTTTCAGACATTTTTGTGGAAGCTACTAAAATTGTACAAAATAAACCAAGAGAGTCGGGGGAGACTCATTGGTTCTTGGAGATTTGGGGTTGAAGTGCGTGTTCTTTGATTTGGTCATGCTCTCAAAACAGAGCAATTATTTTTTAAATTCACAGTTTTTTAGATAAACCCAAAAACAACATAGACCCCAAAAAAAAATTATTAACTCGGGTACAAATTTTTTACCCGTGGGGGATCTTGGCACATTTTTTCTGATTCTGTAGGGGGGGGGGGGGGGGGGGGCCAAAAACATTTTTGTACACTAATTTTGCGTACATTTTGGGAAAAATCGATGGTCCTGTACATAATGGTCATAAAAAATTACAAAAAAACGGAAAACCCTGGAAAACAAAAAAAAGGGGGGGGGGGGAACCCGGAAAAAACAAAAATTTTTCCATTTTTGTACATGTACATTTTGGGAAAAAACTGGTGGGCCCTGTACAAAAATATAGTTGGAAACCCCCCCCCCCCTTTTTCTCAACCCGAAGTAAGGGGTAAGAGTGGTACTATGAAAATTTAAAAATGTGTTTTCCCCGGAAATCAGTAAAAAGGTGGACCCAAATTCCCCAACCCCCTTTTTTTTCCCCCCCTTATTTAATTGCCCCCCCCCCCCCCCCCCCCCCCCCCCCCCCGAAAAATTGGGGGAACTCTTTCTAGTTCAGAATATTGTAAAAGGGAATGGTGTGCCTTTTTTGTTTAGTGTGGCACAATTTAGTTGAACTGTGTGCCATTTATATATATCCATAATCTTCGAACTGGAAAAAGTCCCGCTCACATTGGGACTGGCGCTAAGTTTCTCGATGTAATCAGACTATATTGTCCTAAATAACACAATTGACTCGGGTACACTTTTTCAACCATTTCTCGGAATCACGCCCTTTTCAGCGATGAACCAAATGTGCCAGAGATCTAGATGCATGTTCATATTATTATAAGTGCTATGAAGATACTTAGGGCTAAGAGACTTAGTTTGTGAGAAATCGCAAAACCTCGAGATATCTTGAAATAATTGATCAATCGCTACTTGCGATAGCGTAAAAATGGGATCTGACCTAATAACTCAACTACCTGAAGTCTGAAGGACTTTTAAATCATGCTTCTAGCCCACTCAATATGATGATTTTTCACCATTCATTGCATTTTTAAATGCCCAAGATGAGTGCTTAGCTCCAATCAGATGCGAGATATCTTGGAATAATGGCATCAATCGCTACTCGCGAGAGCATAAAAATGGGATCTACCTAATAACTCAAACAACCTGAAGTCTGTAGACTTTAAAAATCATGCTCTACCCCACTCAATATGATGATTTTGACCATTTAATACCCAAGATGAGCGCTTAGCTCCAATCAGATTCTGAGATATCTTGAAATAAGTGTGATAATTGTTACTCGCGAGACTGCTATAGTAAATCGGATTTTGGCGATATCTCACAAACAAAGTCTCTTAAGCCTTAAGTATCTTTGTAGCACTAATATAAACATGCTCTTAGGCACATTTTGGTTCATCTCTGAAGTCTGTATCTCGATCAGAATCCGAGATAATTTATAATGGGGGTCACGATATGGGTGCGGTCAAAAAGGGCGTGATTCCGAGAAATTCCCTACTGGTTAAAAAGTGTACCCGAGTAATTAGTGTTATTTAGGACAATATAAGTCGGATTACATCGAGAAACTTAGCGCCAGTCCCAATGTGAGCGGGACTTTTTTTTCCAGTTCCAGGATTACCAATGATAAATCACATGAAATTTGTGTTGTGATCACCTGCTATAATTAACTTAAAACATCATGTCATTAGTATGTACCAAATTTCCTCGAGGAACATAATGTTGTCGCCAGACGTCTACTTCATTGTGCCAATTATTAAATAAGCAGCAAAAAGTCATTTCTTTGATTTTAGGCTCAAAATATTCTTTCAAAATGACAATTTGCTGAATTAGGACACACAATATCTTGATGAACTTGCTTAAGCTGTCAGAGCCCCTCACAGTGGGGCTCCATGCTGACATTTAGCAAAAAAGTCATGTCTCCAAAATCACTTTAAACTAGTTTAATCTAATTTAGCCAGGTTATTTCTGAGCTCAGAACTTTTTGATTTTTGATTCTATCTCATTCCTGAGCAAAGTTACAGCCCTGTAAAGTCAGGCGCTGGGATATTTATAGATTTGGCAGTGAAAAATATTCTGAATGTGCATGTCCAGGCAAGATATCTTAACATCGTATTTTTGAATTAACACTATTGGGATAGTCCCACATGAGTTTTCATAGTAATGTCAAGCTCGTTGGTAGTCAATTTAAGCAAAATTGAGATTCTTTTGGCAAAAAATCGAGATTCTGTGAATTTTTAGGGATAATGTTGATAAATTTGCCAAATTTCGAAGGTTAAATTGTCATTTGCTCTGATGTCAGGCTGCTGGAAAAGTTATTCCTCTATATTCCCCATATCTACTATACTTTAAATGATACCTCAGAATGTCTATAAACACAAAATAATCGATTTGCTTCAGAACAATTCAGACTTTTGGAGAAGAAAAAAAAAATTTTTTTGGGTCCAGCCTCACGCTATTTCTCAGCCTTGAAAAGCTCACTGATAGACTAAAAACTGATTTTTTTTTCATTTATTTCATAGCTTTTGGGGCACACTTCGATCTTTTATGCTAATACCAGCAAAGTTCAATAGGAATAAGTAATATTTGGATGGAAAAATAATGCGGATGAGCCAAAAATAGCCAAAATCTGGCAATTCGAGCTCGGAAAATCCAGGGGCAACTCTGATTTCATAGGATTTTTCTTATGTTTTGGTTATATTGCATAGTTTTTCTGGTTCTCCTTTCTGAAATACCATTAAACAATCACATCAGCATGATTGATGACTATTTCCATACGAAAAAGCAGAAAAATGGGACAGAAACCGCTTGAAATTGGATAAAATCTTAAAATTGCTAGTCAAAAAGATGCTTTTTGTGTGACAGAAAGTGCCAAATTTTCAAAAAAATTGATTTTTTTGCCCAAAAAAGTAGTGAAAGTTGTCCTATTTCACTGAAATAAGTCATAATTGACGATTTAACCCAAATTGACACCACCAAGATGTGGCCAGAGGCATAAAAAGGCAAAAAACCCAAAAGTCATAATGCCCTATTAGATTGCCCCACTGTGCCCCTGCCGCAGTAGTCTCGGAGCCGGCGCTTCGCGCCGACTCCTCGCCCACCCCTTTTAAAAATCTTGTGCACGCCCCTGTTGGGAAAGAAACTTAGCCGCTGCGAGCGGGCCACAGAAGGGTCTGAAAATGGGTTTGGGAGGAAATTTTTAATTATGTGGATATGCTCATTTTGGGCATAGTTGAAGTACTTCAACCAAATTCCATATAATATTTGAATGATTCTAAGACATATTCTGAATTTTGAACAGGAAAGTCACAAAATTCAGTTTTTAAAGATGCCAGTCAGATGCTAAAAACTGGCAATGCATTAGCAAAATTTTATGACATATTAATCAACTTAAGGATTTCCTAACAGAGGCAGTTTAGATTTAAGGCATTGCTTTGCTACACTTTCTCGTTATTAGTCATTTCACGTTCACTGTCTTAAGTGCCATGGAATTCAAAGTCATATTAGTGCCACTAATAATTAGGGTCCTAGTGCCACTAATAATTAGGGTCCTAATAATTAGGGTCCTAATTTACATCAATCATTGTTATAACTTGAATTTTTAGTTTAATTGAGAGATTGTCCAAATGTGAAGCATGGTTATTAAACATCTACAAACCCTCATGACATATTTAGCACAGTTATATTTACCTAAATAGTTCTTCTTCATTCATTTCGTTCCAGAATCCAGGCTGAAATTTTGTATTATTTTATATGTGCTTATCTATAATATTACCAGTCAAGATAATGTGAAAAACTTGTATAAATGTTTAAGATCCAATAAAGTCCTATAAATAAATACTAAACAAACCTTCATTAAGGGCATCTTTAATTTAGAACATAGAATAATTTTGGGATGATCTCGGAGAGCTTTTTTAGCAAATTCTGGATCCATAAACATGTCAGCTTCTTGGGGTGATGATTAGATCAAAATATATAATTCAGAATTATAGTGAATAAATCAAATCATTTGGATTCTGTCTCAACAAGCAAGAATTCAATGACGCCCTAGCCCTTAGGTACAACTTTGGAATAAAAGATGCTGCAAGAAAATGTGTATGTGGAAGTGACAACTCAATAAACCACTCACTAATGTGCAAAAGGGGTGGATATGTATCTCTTCGCCACAATTCATTGAGAGATGTGTTAGCAGAGCTCTCAGAAACTGCCGGCTGTAAAGATGTTACTACTGAACCTCTCCTTATTCCTGTCAATGGGAGAGAACTTCCTGCAGGCCGCAGGGGCCAACAAAGCAGATGGAGCTAGATTAGATGTTAGTGCTAGGAGTGTATGAAACCCATTGGAAAGGGCATTTTTAGATATAAGAGTATTTCATGCTCAAGCTCCTTCCAATAAAGCTCTTGGATTTCTGATGAGTATGTACACTAGCCATGAGAGACAGAAGAAAAACATGGACAACAAAAATATTGTTGAAGTAGAATATGGAACATTTACACCAATAGTCCTTTAAATCAAGAACAGGTGGAATGGGAAGAGAAGCAAATACTTTTTTCAAAAAGGTTAGCTGATAGAATGTCTAGAAAATCAGGCCAAAGATACAGTGAGGCAATGGTACTTTTCAGGAAAATAATAAGATTTGACTTGTTGAGGACAACAATTATTGCTCTTAAAGGAGAAAGAAGGTTAAAAAGTTGTTAGGAAATTTTGAATTATAGGAAATAATTCAGATTAGATTGAAAATGGCATATACATATTTCAAGTAAGAGATTAAATTTAATTAGAGACGAATACATATCATAAATTTGCTCTGTGATAATGAACTCCTACTTTCAGCAACAATAACAGAACAAGATGGTCCAGGAAATGAGTGTTGAAAACAAGAATAGAAAAGCACTAATTTGTTTTTCGTCCTGTGTACTGTATTTACTGATAGTTTGCATTTATTTAATTATAAGATCATCATTTATTTAATTATAAAATCATTGATTAGTTGAGCGATAGTAAATCGGCAAAATGTTATGCAGATATCTCAACTATATTGTGTGAACAGCAGGGAACGAGACATCAAGTCATAAACAACAGAACACAGCGGCTACTAACATTTTTTCTACAATCATACAAGAAGATTATATAGCGCTCGATCTCACATCTAATCTGTCTGCAGCCATACGTATATATGGCGTCACCGCGAAAAATGTACTGTTAGTTATTCCATCTTGATCACCTTCAAAACTTGTTCGAAACTACTTTCTCACCACTCACTGAACAAATGTCTATAGGTTTATTATTATTATATTGACAAGTACTTCACCAATTTTTACCAAAAATATTCCTTAATCGACAACATGATACCATTAAATGCGCGCGCGCGCAATAATAAACATAATTATTTTATTACAACCAGTACAAAGCAAGTGCGGATTAATTTAATGTATTAAAATGCTTAATACAAAGATTTCCTTTGTTGTTTGTACTTACCTGTTTAAATTTCCCAAAAGTAAAACCTCAAAAGTGGAAAGGAAAATTTAAAATGAACATTTGCATTTTGGTTCAATAACCGTTTAAAAGTTAAAAAGATATAAACAACTAAACCAAGTAGCTTTAATTTACTTTTTAGAACATTTTAAATTATTATGTGGTATGGTCATTACATTACCCAATTTAGTGGTAATTTAGTAGTCAAGATTTAGTTTGACTTTTAGTATAGGTTTCGTTTGACGACTTTGAGCAGAAAATCCTGTATAATGTATAATGTATAAACATATTTTATGCTTTAGACGCCAAACTGAAAACGCGAACGATTATCATCAGTTTAAAAAAATCGAAAATAAACTCTTCGGTATTCAGAATTTGAATATTATCAAATATTACCCGGTAGTCACAATGATCTTTTTTAATAAAACGTTTTAAATTGTATTTGAAACTTAACATGAATTGTGTGTTGTGATAAAATTTGAACCTTAAAAGTTGACAGTTTTGAGTTTTTTAATTCGAATATTTTGTTCATTAGTTGCTATTTATAATTTATCATACAAGATCGAAGATGAATTAATTCATGACTTGAAAGTTTGACGCGCGTTTATTTCTACACTATAGTGTGTAATGTTGTGCAGCGCGCGGCCGAAATTGTGACAAACCGGAAAAATTAACTTGTTATCAAAACGTATCGCGCGAAAATGTTTTTGTAGACGCGCATGTGACATTACGAGTGCAGAGCTCGCACTGTTTTATAATACATGTATTATAAAACAGTAGCGCCTTATTTCGCGTGCAAAAGGGCCGGGCTCTAGTACTGTAGTTACAATATATGACATGTCGAACGCGAAAGCAGAAAAAAAATTTGTTATAATAATACCTGCAGTTTTACTAATTATTTTTTAAGAGTAAAAACAAAAATTTGAATTCCCTTGAAAATTTAACAGTCTATCGAAGATAATTTTAAACAGTACTTAATCAGCAATTTATAATATGTAATAATAATTATATAATTCACATGATGGTATGAGATTTAATGAAATAAATCTTACATAAGCTTCTTTTACTGATTTCCCCTGACACCTCGAATATGAACGGCTATGAGGACACTACGAAGTAGAGAAAAGTGAAGTCTCGTTCTTATTGATTCACGATGTCAATCCTTCGCAGCTCGGCGAGGCACAGTGGTGCATCTCGCCGATCTACCGAGAAGCATTATTTGATGCGCGCGCGCGACCCAGTAGTGCATCGCGCTACAACGTTCTTATAAACCTACCACATGAGCAAGGGCTCTAGTTAGATTAGCAACATTGCCTCAAATTATCAGAATTCTCTTTTAATCATAAAGAACTTGTTTTGACCGTTGAATCGATTAAACGTAGTTTCAAAAAGCTTCTATTCGATCAACAGGAAATCATCAAAATAGGAAATTTGTTAAATAAAAGCTTTTCTGCCATTTCCTTGACTGAAGTTTCAAAGTTTTTACTCAATTTTTGTCCATTGATCTGCGATCAGTGAGGTCACTGTGACAGAAAGTCAAATTTGTTTTCTTGAATGTCCTACCGATAGGACTGAGCTGAATAACCGAAGAAATCTTTGATAAACGGAAAATCATCAGAATAGATAAAATGTCAAACAGTAATTGGCAGAGCACAATCATCAGAATAGAAGGAAACATTTTGGAGACCGATACCGTTGTTTAATGGAACTTTTCAAGATCATTAAGTCACGAGTACCAATTTCGTTATACTACTTATTCAACATATCAAATAGGAAAGATAATCTGTTCATTACACCCTCTCCAACTAATCAATTTATTTATAAATCTGCATGGCTTTGGAACGAATTCCGTAAAGTTGGCCCGTTAAATTTCACCTCCACATGCGGATCTGTCAAGAATTTACTTAAACAGTCACTTCTAAGAGCTCAAAACCGGTATGGAACTGAGTGGTGTGACAGAAATTTCACTGAATTCTGATTATGAAGTGATATTCATTTGCCCGTTATTCCCACTTAAGCACTGACTGACAAGCTTATCTATGAATACCATGCTTGAATTTAGGTAAACAACATACAACTCATTCCCAGTTACGCTGAGCGCAACCGCCGAATGACACAGTAATATGGGCACGCGCATAGCATTGCGCGCCGATGCTGTGCGCGTTGTCGGCCGAAACTTGGGAAGTTCCCGCTCTAATATTCAGACGACAGTGATGACTCATTAAGAGCACTAATTTCGACCACTTTCCCGGTCGAGCCATACCAAATCAAACTAATTGACCCACGTGTATAGCCAATGTCCTGGCGGTGCTGAGCCGATGTAAAACTCTTCTGTAAACTCTTTTGTCTCTTGTAACTTGTTTATATTTTATATTTAAGTTATACTGTGTACTGTGTACAATAGTTATAGCGTATATATAGTGTGTAGTGTGTAGTGGTTATTTTGTTGTGACGTGTCACTTTATATTTTGCTACCAACGTCAGCCTTGACTTACCATTTATTGTAATTGGTACAGCATATATCAAAACTAAAACACTGTTTTCGATCTGACGGGTGGGGGGGGGGGGGGGGGGGGGGACGGGTGATGGGCTCTCTCTGATGGGACACGGTTCTAGGGGGTACCCGGGGTACGAGTTAACGAATAGTGTTCGTGTCCTTCCACAACCCCCTCTCATTGTGTTTTTGACGGAGGAGAAGCCTAGTTCATCCGTCTGCATCGCTTAATCGAGTTGAAAATTTAGCCAATAACAAACTAAATTACATGTTATACTGATAGCAGGTGTAGAGTTTATAACATACAAATTATAAATTTTTGACGGCTGACGATGGTAAGTCGCTATGTTTAATTCGGGACTTTTATAGTCTTAAGTCTTGGAGCTCAAAATGTCTCGTGCTGTGGGCCGTATAAACGGCGCACACCACCGCCCCGCCTTACTGCTTACATTACTTCATGGTTGCAGGGCGGAGCTGGTGCCGTTTGTCTCGGCCTCGAGTGGCGAGTGCTTGCCCATCGAATACACAATTGAAACACTAATTATTTATTGGAATTCTACAGTTTCCAAAACGAAGTACGAGGATATATTAACTTTGAGCTTTGTTTTGGCGACTGCTTCATCGATGGGCAAGTAGGTATTTGTTGTTTAGCGGTGTTGAATATTGGAGCAATTATATAATGCAATGTATATCTCCATCATAATATAGGCTAGTGTAAACATATATAATCAATAATACAAACAAATGGTATTAGTAACTCG